CGACCACCCCCTCTCTCCCTTCCTCTCCAAAAAAAACCTTTTTCCACCAATCGTCTAATATCCGCAGATTCAAAGCGAAATGCCATGAGCAAACTGATTGGCAATAGAGAATGCTTTCTATTTTATTTTTTTGGGAACTTCTTTTCCTATCATCTACGCGATTTCCTTTATCCACAAATTTAGTTTGCGAAGAGTTCGTTCTTCCGCGAATGTTATACTTCCTTTCCCTTGTGGAATTCAACTCCATTGAAAATTCTTTCCTAACAAAATGTATTTCACAATGTATTTTCAGTTGTGTACACACAAAAAAAAAGAAAGAAAAGAACAACAAAATTTTGTCTCCACGTTCTTGTGATAATGAAAATTTATTTAGTTACCTGTCACACGCGATATTTTAACTGAGAAAAAATTTATTTTTTAGTAATAATAATAATTATTGTTATATATAAAAATTCTTATATTATAAAAATTCTTATTATAAAAATTATAATAAGGTAAATTTATATACAAAATAATGATAATTAATTATAATTTATTTTTACTACTTGCTTTTTGATTTAGTTTCTTTATTTCAGATATTTTTTTCCTTGAATTTTCCCATTGTTTTAGTTTACGTTTTATTTTAATCTTTTTTGTTTTGTATTAGCTTTGTTTCGTGTTAGCTTTTGTTTTGTATTAGTTCCTGCTTTATTTTACTTTTTCTTTGTTTTACCTTTTGTTCTACTTTATTTTTTGCTCTCTTTCCATAATTTTATCCAAATATACTCCTGAATTTTTAAAGCACATTTTCATTCTAAACACACACTAAAAAAAAATAAATTTCCCCCCTAATTATCAACTAAATTAAATCCTCCCTGAAAATAATAAAACATTTCCGAAATATTTAAAAATACATTTCCAATTTCCAAAAAAAAGCAATTTCTCCTCTAAATTCACAGTTTTTAAAAAAAGGAGCTCCTAAAAAATAACAACACCATAAAAATACATTACATCGCATCGAAAGAAGCCTTTAGATTTTTTTTCCTCCATTTTTTTTTTCATGAAGTAATTACAAACCTTTAAAAAAGAGGCTATTTTCAGAAAAGGAGGACACCTAAAATTTCTCTAGTTTAATGAACAGAGAAAATTGGAAATCCATATTATACATGTGTTTATATACTCTCACACAAATATACATATATACAGATAGTATAGCAAAAAGCTAAACAGAAACTAATGCAAGTAATTCGAAACATTATGTCCCATTATAGCTGAAATTAGATTCACAGCAGTATTGAGCGCGTAAAGTAGAGTATTACAGACTGTTTCTGTTTTCGAGTAAATGTTCGAGCACTGAACTCATCCTCATTGAATCTCAATTATTCCCTAAGCCACGGGGGTATGAGAGGGGGGGGGGGGAGGATTCAATTATTCACTGTAGAAACTTTGCTTCTTGTTTGAATTTGGAATTCTGCGTACATTTCAAGAGTCATCTTCTCGTTCACTGTATATAAAGTATTGTTTGATTTTGATAGACAAGCTATCGGTATAAATAAAATTAGACTTCCCTCCATATCAAGAAAAAGAGACAGTCAAGAGATTTTTCCTTTGCTCTAAATTTGATTAAATTGGGAATTTTTAAACAGAGGGTTTAAAAAAATACCAAAAAGATTTTCAGCAAAAATATTCTCTATTATTTTTTTGTATCATGACTAACAATAATCAAAAAAGTATTTTCAACTTTTTTTTACATCATAATTAACAAGAAACAGTAGAAAATATTTTTAACTATTCTTTTGTCACAACTAATAAACAAAAAATATTCTCAACTATATTTTTGCATCACAACTAAGAACAAACAGCAAAAGATATTTTTAACTATTATTTGCAGTTGCATTAGGAGCTGATATAATAATAGATCTTGATTTTGCTCATCCTTTCAAGGATTTGCATATATACAATTATGTCAAGAAGTGTATTTCACCGACGTTTGAATCGTCTCAATTAATATATGTATATATATAGAGAGAGCAAGAGAGAGAGGCGAGAAGCAAGCTTCCTCTACTGTCAGAAGGACAACTATCAGTCAAGAGGACATAACGATGTAATGTTACTGACTCGTATAAGCTAACGAAGTTAATTCACGAATCCTCGATAATGGCTTCGTCTACATCACAATGCCTTCATGAAAATTCAATTTCTCCTGTTGGAAAGCAAATTCATTATCGATGGACTGACGTAACATAGAAATTTCATTTTCCACGAGGCTCGAGACAACGCAAAAAGTAATATAATCAAACTCATTAAATTCTCATGCACCCCTCAATGTTGCATTATTCCCAATGTATATTTATACACGCAGATAGTTCGAAAAATAATATCGATTACATTCAATCTGTTTTAACAGAAACTTTTACTCAATAATATTAATTTAATATAGAATAAAAATATATTTTTATTTCATTAATTTAATATAAGAATATTTTATTTTCATTCTATATTAAATTAATATTATTGAATAAAAGTATCTGTTAAAACATAAAATTCTTTCGCTAGCCATCTATCGGACGCGTCACTGAATTAAATGGACTCAATTGGCGCCAAATTCGAATCGTATTGAAAATTCTTTTCGATTTAAAACTTCTTTTCGATAATTTTAAATAATAAAAATTATAATAATAATAATTGTTATTGACAACAATAATAATTATTAATGTTATTTAAAATTATTAAAAAGAATTTTTCATTCGATTTGAATTTCGCGCCAATAGAGTCAATTTAATTCAGTGACGCGTCCGATAGATGGCCAGCAGAAACATCGATAAATAATAATAATAGATAATAGATAATAGAAACATAAAAAAATACGTAACAATAATAAAATTAATAATAATAATAATAATAACCACAATTTATTATTACTTTATAAAAGTATTTATAACTCGATTTGAATTTCGCGCCAATTGAGTAAATTTAATTCAGTGACGCCTCCAACAGATGGCCAGCAAAAACGTTTAATTTTTAATCAAAATTTTTCTCTCAATAAATTCAGTATTTCGCTCAATATTTCTCGTCGGAATTATGATCACATGACACATCAACTACAGAATAGGAAAATTAGACACATTCAAACAATACAATTCAGGTTGACTATTCTCTGACATTCAACAATAATGATAACTCTATTAGGATTTCAAAACATGGAAATGTCAGGATAGAGAGATAAGTTTTCAAAGAAATGTCTTTAGAGAATCCGTCTTTTACATACATTTATATATACGTATAGTTGAGGTCTCTCGTTTAAGTCGACCGACGTTTTCTTAATTGCATTTTTATACTTGCTCGGATTTCCCAACCAATTTCTATTAAGTTCCCAGACGATGGATAGGTACTTCTATATTCATACCTCTCTCTCGAGTTGAAAAAAGCCTCAAAATTGATTTCAAAGTTTTCTTTTTTGTAAAGAAAGAATGGATAAAAGGAAAATAACTCCCTAATGAACGGAAAATATTCCGAAAATTTCTGTAAAATAAATCCTTTTGAAAAATAATTTTAAAAAAATAATTATTTTAACACTTCTTCCATTCAGCGGATTTTAATGATTTTATTTCCTTACTTTATTATTTATATATTCTCTAAATATGTAATATTCAATACTAGAAATATTTAGAATATAAAAAAATAAAACCGAAAAGCACTTAGAAGAGAACAGAAAAAAATCCCTTCTTTCCATATAGTTAAATTGAAACAAAAAAAATTAATTTTCGATCGAAGGAAAAAAGGAAGAATTAAAGAGTGTAGAAAATAGGACGAATTCTGACAAATTGTAAACCAATGTTTCCTCTTTTCTCTTCTATCCAACAAACGAATAACTGTCCTTACTTACTACTCGAACTGTCCCAAAGCATTTGCGACCATTCGTTTCATTCAGCGAGAGCAGAGTTTGGATTTATTGAAATTTTATGCGGTATCACGATCAAGTCCCGACCTGCAAGTTTTATCGAGTGTCGAGTATACTTTTCAGATGAAAAGAAAAAGAGATAGGCAATAGGTGAATGAAGAAAAAAAGAAAATCGAGGAGAAAAAGAGAAAAAAAAGAGAGAGAGAGAGGAGAGAAAAAAGAGAAAAGTGATCTTCCTATCGAGAAAATCAATAAACCATCCTTAGCCTCGTCCTTTGACACCTTATAATCCAAAAAAGAAATTCAAAGCAGAAATATAGAGAGTGGATCAAATAACCATATTCGAGATCGTATTCGATTACTCGGCGATAGAGAGAAATATTCACAAATACATAAATTACACCCGAACCCGATATCAATGAAATTTAGATTTGCGAAATTTTTTCTCAAATTCTTTTTTCTCCAAATTTTTTTTTAAATTCTTTTTCATATTTTTTCAATTTAGATTTGCAAAAGTTCTATCTTCTTGTTTTAACATTTTTTCAATTTTACATGAAAAATCTTTGAGATTTATGAACACCCAGAAAAATGTAATTTCATATTAAGATTACTAATTATTATAGATAATTGTTTATCTGCACATTAAAAATCAAATTTTACTTTCAGACAAGTTTGGAATAAATTGAGTCTTGAAAACAAAATTAATCTAAATTCAAAATTAAGTAAAATTAATCTAAATTTAAAATTAAACTTGTGTAAATTGTTTATATCTGATTTCATAAAAAAAGTGTTAAAGTTTAGATAGATTTCAATTCAATTTTTTAATTTAATTAATTAAATTTAATAATTAATAATAAAAACAGATTCAACTTTTCTATTTGTAGAAGTTAAAAATAATTGAAATTGAAAAAAAACACTTGAAAACTAACTTATTGTGCGGTGGCTGAGTGGATAAAGACCTTGTTTTACGGAAAAATCGGGGTTCGATTCCTCCCGACTGATTTTTTTCACTTATTTTCGATAAATTTTCCTCCTTCTTGTTCATCAATCAATTGTTATCGATCAATCGATTGTTTATTAATATTAAAACATCAGGAAAAAAATGGAATTTTAGACTCACCCCAAGATATGATTGTCTGTGTTGTTTGGAATGGCTTCGTTGACAGAACTTTTTGATAGTGGACCTTGTGTGACATCAACGCCCATGCCACCAAGATCCAGGGATGCATAGGTTCTTCTAGTTTGTACTCGAGTGACACCACCCCCGCCGCCCGTCACTTCACCACTTCTACCACCACTTGTCACAAGTCCTTGATAAAGTTCATCGTACAATGTACTTCCATTGTCATTGCTGTTTATTGCATCGTCCAAACGCGCCGGATCCAAATGATAATTTGGATTTTCAAACGAGAGGAGGCCATTTTCTAAAACAAAATATTCATTCCCAATTTTAGTATTATCGTAATAAATAATCGTTTATTTATCGTTATTATTATTATTACTACTACTACTATTATTATTACTATTAGTACGATTATTTTCACTTAAACAAATTTATATTTATTTATTTATTTATTATATTTATACTTTTCTTTACTTTTTTAAATTTTTTTTCATTCTTTATATTTTTCCTTTTTTTAGCAAATAAATTTGTCATAAATTTTTTTTAGTTGAATAAAAAATAAAATTGTGAATTTACTTATGAAAAATATTATCTGCGAGTTTCTATAAAAGCAGAAGATGACGTCATTAACCGTAAACAAAGGTTCCGACCTTATTGAATAAGGCAATAAAATATATTATTGAGAAAACAATTGAAGGGCAAATTTTGCAGAGACAGTATAAGAGAAGAACAAAAGGAGGGAATGAAAACATAAACAGGACGAAGAGAGTGGAAAGAGAAAAAAAAAAAATATTTTCCAAACAAAATTTTATAGTTTCAACTTTTCATTGTATTGTACTTCGTGCTGCGTTAATAAAAAATATTGAATTTAAATTTATTGTAATATAAAATATACTCGACATCTGTTAAATTTATTTCTGCATTTTATTTCAAATACTGAAAACGAAGATGTAGTAATAAAAATATTAAAAATAAGAATAATAAAAATATTAAAATAAGAATAATAAAAATCTTAAATATAAGAATAATAAAAATATTAAAATAAGAATAATGAAAATATTAATATAAGAATAATAATAAAATTTATTCTATTCTACAAGTATTTTTTTAATTTAAACAAAAAGATAAAAGTACTAAATTTTAAGGAAATTCCTAAAATTATTTTTTATTTATTACTAAAAAATTCTAATAACAAAAATAATAGTAATTATAATGTTTCTAATAATATAAATTATTATTACAGGCCTTGAACTGAATTTACAAATAAAATGGTGGTTTAATTTCTCCACCTGAGAACGCCAAGGTCGCCACTAGGTGGCAATCTGATTTTGTCAACTGAACTGCCATCTGACGGTGACCTTAGCGTTCGCAGGTGGAGAGTAGCATCTCCATATTGAATCTCGAAATGTTCGTCAATATTCGTAATTCTATAATTATTCATAAACAAATTTACAGAGTTTACCAATTAATATAAACAGATTTCAATTTTGAATTTCGATTTTCAAATTCGATTTTTAATTTTCGATATTTTTACGGTCTCAAATTTTGTAGAATCTTGGAATTAATATTTCGATTAAATAAATTGAGATTTTTTCTCGGTTTAAAAAAAATGGTTTAAAGTATTTTTTACAGTAACAATAGAGGGAGGGAAAAAATATGTACTTTTTTATGGTTCGCAACTCTTGGACTCTGGAGAGAACACTCACTTATGATTCTTAGAATGAAAAAGGCGGCAAGCACGACACTTTGTAGGTAACGGCAAAGTACGTCCATAACGGCGTGTTGGCGTTCATGTTCCCGGGGAAAATCGCCCTCGTTCGGTATCGCGAATAGGGCACAACGTGAATAATAAAGAAAAAAGAACTTTGAAAACAAAACAGAAAACCCTTTTTTTAACAAGTTCTCTCTTTTCCTCTCTTGATATTACAAGCACGGTGTGTGTTTCCACACAGAGAACTGCGGCTAAAACGTGTACAAGTCTACTTAACTCAAATCTCCTTGGCCTCCTTCCCTTCCATCCTTCTCTATTCACGATTCTTTCTCGCAAGCATTCTGTCTGTTTATACAGGGCTTTTGTATTGATTCTCATTCCCTTAATGAGACACAATTTATAAGAAAATTCAACTAATTAAAAAAGAAAATTCTTTATTACTCTTTTCTATTTAAAAAACCAAAAACTTTATTAAATTTCCTGAAATTTCCATTTTTCTTGAAAAAAAAATACTTTTTCCTCTCGTTTAAAAGTCTAATTGCCGAAATTAATAATAAGAGATGAACTATTTGCGCATTCAAGTAGTTTCCTTTCATGTGAATTTGCGGTTTTTCGATCAATTGTCTCGCATTCAATTTGACAACAATAGAGAGGCACCAATTCAAAAGGCGGCCTTTAAAAGAATAGAGAGAAGAGGACGAAAAGTGAAGAAAAAAAATATGAATGAATTTTTCAATAAAGTGAATTTATATTGGACGAGAAAAAAATAAAAAATTTATCCCTACACTTTTCTATATTTACCTACAGAGACTTTAAAAATTCCAATTTATATTCTATTACAATTTTTCAATATGGTTTGAAAATCTAATATTAAATTTTCGTTTTAATTAGATATTTAATTAGATTTTAATAAGATAGATAGAAAAAGAGAAGATTTTATCTAGAGATTCCTGCACCGATAGTTACCGACACTTTCTAGCCCAGACTCAAACCTCAGAGTGGGAATGCTATTCATCACCTTGTGGTTCGAGTCCGGACTAGAAAATGTCGGTAAATTTCGGTATAGAAATCTATAAATAGAACTGGCTCAGAATATTATTCAGATCACCCTGACTGGTTTGAGTCTGAACTAGAAAATGTCGGTAAAGGAATCTGTAAATAGAACTGGCCCAGAAAATTATTCAAGATTACCCTGTGGTTTGAGTCTGGACTAGAAAATGTCGGTAAATTTCGGTATAGAAATCTATAAATAGAACTGGCTCAGAATATTATTCAGATCACCCTGACTGGTTTGAGTCTGAACTAGAAAATGTCGGTAAAGGAATCTGTAAATAGAACTGGCCCAGAAAATTATTCAAGATTACCCTGTGGTTTGAGTCTGGACTAGAAAATGTCGGTAAATTTCAGTTTGGGAATCTGTAAATAAAACTAGCTGAGAATATTATTCAGATGACCCTGTGGTTTGAGTCTGGACTGGAAAATGTCGGTATAGGAATCTACAAATAGAACTGGCCCAGAAAATTATTCAAGAATACCCTGTGGATTGAGTCTGGACTAAAAAATATTTGTAAATGTCAGTTTGGGAATCTGTAAATAGAACTGGCACAAAATATTATTCAGATCACCCTGTGGTTTGAGTCTGGACTAGAAAATGTCGATAAATATCGGTATAGGAATCTGTAATTAGAACTGGCTCAGAATATTATTCAAGATCACCCTAACTGGTTTGAGTCTGGACTAGAAAATGTCGATAAATATCGGTATAGGAATCTGTAATTAGAACTAGCTCAGAATATTATTCAGATCACCCTGTGGTTTGAGTCTGTACTAGAAAATGTGGGTAAATTTTGGTATAGGAATCAGTAAATAGAACTAGCATAGAATATTATTCAAATCACCCTGACTGGTTTGAGTCTGAACTAGAAAATGTTGGTATAGGAATCTGTAAATAAAACTAGCCCAGAATATTATTCAAGATCACATTGTGGTTTGAGTCTGGACTAGAAAATGTCGGTAAATGTCGGTATAGGAATCTGTAAATAGAACTGGTTTAGTATATTATTCAGATCACCCTGTGGTTTGAGTCTGGACTAGAAAATGTTGGTTAATGTCGGTATAGGAATCTGTAAATAGAACTGGTCCAGAATATCTACTGATAGAGAAAATATAGAGGCAGAAAAGAAAGAGAAAAGAGATCGAATAGAAAGAAAAACAAAGCAGAAACAAAGATAAAAAGAAATAGAATAGAAAGAAAGAGAGAAAGAAAAGAAAACACAAGAAAAAAGAGAAAAAATAAAAAATAGAGAAAAAGAGAAAGAAAGAGAGCGAGAGAAAGAGAAAGTGAGAGAGGACAAGAAAGAGTGAGAGGAGGCAAGGGAGACTTTGAACAGAGTACGAGTCGACTTGAGAAGTTTGGACACGCTTTCGATGTTAAGGCAAAAGAGGGTGAGTGGAGGAGAGCAAGATGGCAAGTGCGGGCTCAAGGAGAAAAAAAAGGCAAAGCGAAAGAAGACGAGGGTGCAAGAGCTACGGCTGCTGCTGTCACCGCCCTGGATGAGTCACCATATCGATTCCTCTCTCTCTCTCTCTCTCCCTCTCTTAAAAAAAAGAAGAGTAGAATCTGAGGACTTTCCCAAAAAAAACCCGAAGAGCCATTCCGTTTTTTTCCTTCTCAGACATACCTCGTGATATTAAATTTCACGGTCAGAGTGCTGCCAGTTTGGAAATTCCCATGACTCGCGCACAGTTTCCTATTACATAATTAACCTGAGCCCCTTAACAAGTTTAATTGATAAATGTATTCACAAAAACAATAATAATTCATTCTTTTGTCAATAATGTGTCCATTATTACCCTTGGGCAATAATGAACCCTTTATTTATTGTAAATTTCTTCACATACACGAACTGGTCAATAAAGTGTTCATTATTGCCCTAGGGCAATAATGGACACTTTATTGACCTGTTAGTATGGCGAATGAATTTTTTCAACAGTCAGAAGAAATTACTTCATCAACTTATCATTCTTTTTAGTTTCAAATCACAACCGTATGAATGATTTAAGAAAAGAAAAAAGCAAAAACGCATGGTATCAAATTGAACGGAAAATGTAAAGTCTCTCCCTCTTTCACTCTGTTTACAATGCTGAAAATGTTGAAGGTTATCTTTAAATAAAACACATTTTATAAACACATCCTTCGAACCTTATTCACCTTCACCTTTAATCCGTTGCATGCCACACGGTTTAAAAAAGTAAATGATGAAAATTGTTATCTCATTTTTCCTTCTGCATCTAATTTCACGAAATTTTATAATCAAAATCTCACAATTTTATTTTACAAAACCGAATGTATGAAACAACTACTTGAATGTTGATAAATCATAAAATTCCCCTAAAAGAATTCGCTTTAAAAAAAAAAAACAATTTCTGTTATTTTATATCTTACTTCCGATGTTCTTTTCCCTTAATAACAATTACTTTTTTCTCATTTTTATTTAATTGACATTTCTATTATAAAAAGCTTGGTGTGTATTATTATTTTTTTAAATAAACTTTCAATGGAGAAGAGAAAGAAGAAAAATAACAAAAGC